TGCTGGCTGGGGAATTCTGGGAGTTGAAGTCCACGCAGCTTAAAGTTGCCAAGGTTGAGAAACACTGCTCTGGAGTATTTAAGGAGGGCAGCAAGCAGTTGGTCTGACTTCCTAATAATTTCAGCTACAGGATTTATGTGGATAGTGGCAAAATGTGACCCACATCCACAAAGTGATCGCAGGAGTTATTCAAGGACGATGGTCTCCGCTGTAACTCAGTGGAAACACTGGTTATGGGACACCAGAAGTATTTTAAATATGGGCTGCATACAGACCGTGTGTTTTGCCTCACAGCTACTATCCTGAATTAGCTAGGTGAAGTGGATGATTTCATTCAAGGTTTTACTATGCATGGATTTCTTTTTAAAGCAGGCATGGATTTTTTCGTAAATCATGCACACATCTTTTTTTATACATTTAGAGGAAATGCCCTCACCATCTTCCACTGCTCTCTCATTATTTCTTCTGTTCTTTTTTCCTCTCTAAATAGAGACGTTTTGTTTTTCCTAACTTGAAAAAAAAAAATCCATTAAGGAGGAAACAGGGAAAGAGTTCTACGCTGCCTTTGATCAAACTTATCAAAGTTCCGTTTAAAAAAAAAAAACAAGTGGGCAGATAAGCACAGAGAAAAGCCACAGGGTCACCGCTCCCACAAACAGGAGGGTTCACAGAAGGAATATTCCTGAATCATTGATTTTTAATTATAGATAAACATGGGACTCGGATGCTCAGACACCATCTGGAAACACCTCATCCGGGGTGAACTCGATAACCTCCTATTTGACTGCAGTGTCTCATGTACACAAATGGGTCTGAGATGGAAAAACAGCCTCTATCCCTTCCCTAATTCCTTCCAGGGGCTAAATATATCTGCCTTCTGTTTGTCCAGCCTGTAAGCATGTGACTGCTAAACCCACAGAAATGAACATCAAAAACAGATTTCCTATGACCTAGCAGGGATGGGGGAAAGACCACATGAACAGGACAAAGCCGTGACCCAGGACATGGAACCAGGAAGGCCAGAGGGGAAGTGTGACAACCCCATGCCTAGGAAAGGACTTCTTTGAGGTTGGGGTCACCTATCCGTGCTCAGCCTCAATAGGATTTGTTGATTTTGGCTGGGTCTGCAACACCCTCCAATTTGTGAACCACGGATGATGCTTTACTATGCTGGTCAAAAGTAAGCTAAGATGCTGTGAGCCACACTGGGCCCAAACATGGTTGTGTTGCCAACCCCCAGCATGGCTTCCCTAGCTGTAGCTCTATCAGGAGATGAACCCATTTTGAAAAGGCATATATATATGTATGTGTGTGTGTGTGTGTACAGAGAATGGTGAGCAACAAGATGGATTAATCCAGTTACACCAGCAGAGGTGCACCACTGAAAAAGACCAGGTTGGGAACAGATGGTCCCAGAGAAAATCTATCTATGTGGCCATTAAGAGTCAACACCAACTTGATGGCACATAATTGATCGATCTATAGATGTGTGTGCGTGCATGTGTGTGTGTATGTGTATGCCTATGCCTTACACTTACGCATATATGTTTATGTCTATTTAAACTCCATTGGCCTTTATAAGCTCTAAGATAACCTACGACCGTGTCTGCCAGCCAAGCATTACAGATAAGGGGCAGTGGGGGGGCTTTGAGGACCTCGCCTTGCTGGGCGCTGGCAGCAGCAGAAGTTCTCCTCACTGGCCTCCTTGAGGCTGTGCATATTGACACAGGTCTAGGGGCCATGCAATGCAGGATGAGACCAAAGAGATGGAGGTGAATGAGGGCATCAGTGTAATTGGGAAGAAGGAATAATCTTGAGGAATAGAAAGAAGAGCCACAACCAAGACAACTGTCAGATAAAAGAAATCTGAGTCCAGGGCAAAAATGTAATTTGCTAAAGCATCTCAGACATGACCCTCCCTAGTTCTCACAAAGATAAAGGGAGTGAGGAGAGAAGCATATTTAGACTGGCAAGATTCTGTTACTATATAACCTTATAATAAAAGTAGTATTAGCATTCATAACTTTGGTTTCCTAGGCTGATCTGCCTTGGACCGCTGACATACAGGGAGGCAAGTGAGAAGCTGTCAGATGGAACAAGCAAGGAAAGAAGGAGGAAGTGACCAGATTGGAAATGGGGCCCCTCTGAACTATGACACCTGCTGGCTTTCTTAATCCCTACCAGGACCCACCATTTTAGTTTCCAACCGTGCCCTGGAAAGTCAAGGGCAAACCACTCTTTTCCCAGGAAAATCATCCATGGGTGAAAACAAGTATCTAAAGGTCTTCTGTTCCTGGCAGTCCTGTGTGGACTTCAACCCCCAGAATTCCCCAACCAGCATTCTGGGAGTTGAAGTCCAACATCTTAAAGTTGCCAAGTTTGAAAAGCACTGCCTTGAATGACCAGAAGGTCCAAAAGAACCTCAAAAGAATGATGGCCACCAATCTCTGGTAAGACACAGTACTAAAAACAAACAAACAAACAAACAAAAAACATGTCCTGAATGCTACACTTGTTTTGGTTCCTGATGGGAAATTAAAACAGAGGCTCTTGATTATCTTGTACTTTTTAAATGGTAGAAGGCGGAGAAGGCATGAATGGGGAACCTTGAATGAGAAATGCCTCCAGGTGCTGCTGTACAATTTTAGCAGGGCTGACCAGAGCTCGCCCATCCCCGTATAAAATGTGGAGAGAACTCGATTAGCAGATGTGATAAACGTCCATACCTGTACAAACACAAAGTACCATAATTGATGGATATTCCAGTAGTAGCCCAGTCCAAATAAGGAAGTAAACAAGCCACTCAGCAACATGCCTCCGGAGAGGTAGTAGCGCAGGGGAAGACGCTCACCGAAAATCCCACTGTGGGAGAATGGAATAGATAGCTTGTTAAACCACAGTTTGTTCTCTCATGTCAATGCAAAAGGATAGAACCCTGGAGCTGAAGGGGGCTTTGGGAGTCATCAAATCTTGGCCATAAAGAGACTGGGTTGACACTTCATGCAGTGCCATGACTTATTTTAATCATGTTTATTAAAAAGCCACAGAGACCTGGTTCTTACATGATTGTAAGCAACATTGTTTTACAAACCAAAAAAGTTGGGTTTACCTATTACACTAAGCCATCGCATGATTCATCTGATCTTGGCTTAGCATGATGTATGAACCGAGATATCTTGACGATAAGACTTGGATTTTGGTTTTGAACTGTGGGGGAATATACAGTATTCAATTGTGTCATCTTCAGAAAACCATGAACACAAGGTGAGACGTGAACCCAGTCATTGCTGACCCCTGGCCTTGTCTGACTGGGGCTGCATGCAGAAGCTTGTTGTGCACATCAACATTCTTATGCAGATCTGTCTGAAATCCCTTAAGCTCACGCCCTAACTTTACCTATGCTTTCTTTCTGTCTCTTCAGAGCTAAAAGCCAAATAGTTTTGGCTTTGGGATGTAGGAATTGGTCTTATACACACAAATTAAAGTGGAGGGAACGAAGGAAAGGAAAGAAGGAAAGAAAAAAGGAGGGAGGGAGGGAGGGA